AGTAAACACCAACCGAGCAAGAATCACAGCTAACAACAATTTATTATTGCTATTAGTCCATACTAATTAGAGAAAACACTCTGGTTGTTTCATGTCGTTATCAACCTGGAACAGTCTTCCTCTCAAGGTTAAGCAGTCTTCACCATTAGCTCTTTTTAAAAACACATTATTCATATTTTTGCTCGACACCTTAGAATTCTAAGATGTGTAATAGTATCTACACCTGTTCATATAACCATAGTGACCAGGTCAAGGCGCAATTCTCGCTGTATTGCATCGCTTCGAAAGGGCACGCTACTGCCACATCGCCACAGTTCGTCCTCCTGATGTTGCCAGTGAGCTTTCTGACGTCCTCTCCAACCCCTTCCTCACCGTTGAAAAAAATCTTGGCGAGTTTCACGAAATTAACCAAACCATGCAGTCTCCGTCAGTCGCCTAGACACACGGTGACACACCACATCGTCACACATGGTCCACCAGTAGCCGCTCGACCGCGCCGCCTGTTTGGGGACTGCCTAACGATTGCCAAACATGAGTTCTGTGGAAATTCTCAGGGTCACTTGGGACGTTCGCATGCTGCAGCTCGGCATTATACGCCCGTCATCAAGTGCATGGGCTTCCCTGCTGCATTTGGTGCCAAGGCGCGATCCCAGTGACCAGCATCCTTGTGGAGACTATCGAGCGTTGAATGCCAAGACCGTCCACGACAGCTATCCCTTACCTCACATCCACGAGTTTACATCACGCCTGGACGGCTGCACTATTTTCAAGAAAGTGGACCTTGTTAAGGCGTACCACCAGATTTCCGTTGAGCCCGCTGACATACCGAAGACCGCCATCACTACACCTTTTGGTTTGTTTGAATACGTGCGGATGCCTTTTGGACTGCGCAATTCGGCTCAGACCTTTCAGCGGTTCATTTCAGAGTGATGTCCTCGTCGCCAGCCGGATACCTCAAGAGAATGAGCAGCATCTCCGTGCTTTCTTTCAATGCCTACAGCAGTACGGTCTGGTTGTGAATGCCCCAAAGTTGATTTTCGGCGCATCCAAGCTCGAGTTTCTAGGCCATCATATATCATCAAAAGGTATACCCCCTCTGCGGTCCCACGTCAGCGCAATCCAGGAGTATCCTCCGCCCACAACAGCGCGCCAGTTACGCCAATTCCTGGGACTTGTCAACTACTCCAGGCGTTTTGTACCACACTGCGCAAAACTGCTTCAACCACTCATCGACCTCCTTCGTTCACCCACCGGCCCGTCCTCTGCCATTCCTTGGTCGCCAGAAGCAATGGGCTGCCTTTACTGCCCCCAAGCAAACGGTCACAAACGCTGTGCTTCTTATTCATCCGCGCAACAACGCCCCTACTCAGTTGATGGTAGATGCATCCAGCGTAACTATTGGAGCTGTCTTGCAACACTGCACTAACTTTAAGTGGAGACCCATCTCCTTTTACTCTCTGAAGTTACTTGCTGCTGAGACCCGCTACAGCGTCTTCAACCGGGAGCTACTAGCCATCTACTCTGCGATACAGCACTTCCGCCATTTTCTGGTGCTCCTTTTACGTGCTGACAGATTGACAATAATTGTCCATCCATCCGGATGACAATAATTGTCCATCCGGATCTGGCCACAGCAACACACGTTTTCATGCGCCACGACGCGGTCAAACCTCCTTTTACACCAGCCTACGACGGACCATTCCAGGTCCTTAATCGTACTCAAAAAACCGCCACTCTTCTTTAGAAAGGCCGCAAAGAGACAGTCAGCTTGGACCGACTTAAGCTAGCGTACCTGGAGACCGCCATAGAAAGCTTTTCATCTACGTCTGGTCTTGCTTTAGACTGCCAAAAGCATGTAACATTTCGACTTTCAGTCTACACGGGGGGCCCTGTAGCGACCTCGTTTAGGCGGCGCACAAAGCAGCAAGTGCGCACCCGCAAACAGAGAAAAATAAAGACAGCGCTTGGCAGTGACACGCGAGGAGAAGGCTCGCTTACCCTACTGGCGTCGATTGTCATTCAGGCGCCTATTTTCCTTCGCTCCTACGGTGTAAGCCTACACTGTCGTCTGTGCGGGGGATCCCTCACCCAGCGGCTCTCAAACGAAAAGGAAGAGCCACGTTGGTGCCAAGTTGCAGTGCAGTGGCCACGCCTCAATAGTGGGCATTTACGTGGCAGGTGTGGGCGTCACCCTCTCAAGTTGTGTGTGACATGTGATTGGAGAGTGCAATCTGCACCCATTTCCCCATATAGGGATCTGGGGAAAACGTATCCTTTATAGAACCACCAAGCTCATTCGAAAGATTGCCATGTACAGAATGTAAATAAACCCTCTGTTAAGTTCATCTTTCTCCTGCCTCAGCATCTTCATCCCGGATCGCAGATGGTGGGATAAGACTCGGCTGTATCGTGCTGGGTCATGCTGACCATGACTCATGATGCGCACTCCGGTGCGCACCGACCGATTATGCCTAATATAAGCGGCGACAATAAACCCGGCAAGGCATTGCTGCATCCTGCTTCATCGGTGACCGTCTCAGTCTTTGATCAGCCTAACTGGGTCTGATACATGGTGTCAGAAGTGGGATCGACGGCGGATACTACCACATCGCTTCGCCGGTGCCGACAATCATGGAACTACTGAAGCCACCGGACCGACTATGCCTGACAGGAAATGTTCAGAAGAACTGGCAGCTTTTTAAACAAAAGTTCGAATTGTTTCTACAAGCAACAGAGCCAGCTACACGACTGACAGAAGCTGCTAGAACAGCCAGGCTCCTGACTGCTGCTGGGGACGACGCTTTAGAAGTCTTCAATAACTTTACATTCGCAGAAGGCGAGAACAAGCAAGACTACCAGACTGTGGTAAAGAAATTTGAAGAGTACTGTGCAGAGCAGCAAAACGAAGTCTACGAAAGATATGTCTTCAGGACAAGGACGCAAGATGAAGCTGAACCAGTGGAACATTTCATAAGAGACCTGCGCAAGCAAGCAAGGTATTGCAACTTCGGTCCGCTTGCTGACTCGATGATACGCGACCAAATCGTATTTGGCTCCTGGAACACTAAACTGAGGGAAAAGATGCTACGCGAGAAGGACTTGACGCTCCAGAAGGCCGAACAAATCTGCAAAGCAGCAGAGCTCGCGAACAAGCAAAACGAAGCATGGCAAGGTAACGAAGCAAGAGTGGACGCCACCGAAAAACGTTACCTACATCGCACCCAAGGCCGGAAAGCTCCTGTCCAGTGCTGCAAGTGCAATCGAAGACATGAGCCTAGGAAATGTCCCGCCTTTGGCAAAATATGCCGCGCCTGCGCAGGCCGAAATCATTTTGCGGTTTGTTGCAGAAAGTATGAGGTCGACGAAGTACAAGAGGAAAAGGAAGACTTTGCAATCTTGGACGTCACCGTGTGCGGAATCCAGAAAACAGATTGGATTGTTAAGGCCCAAGTTGGACAGCAAGAAGTTGCATTCAAAGTAGACACTGGTTCCCAAGCCAATTTATTACCACTGTCAGTGTACAAAAGATTCCGAACGAATCCACCCCTCAGGGCAAGTAATTCCGTTTTACGATCCTATAGCGGAAACGCTATCATGCACTACGGAGTGACAACTCAGGTGATTACGATCAACGAGCGTCGGTGCCTTGCAGATTTCTTCGTTGTGAAGCGGGGCCAGAGTATATTAGGTCTCGAACTGGCTGAATCTCTAGCACTTGTCTCCAGGGTGGTTGATTTCGTAACCACTGAAGGGATGACTCCAATGACGCAACGGTCTCTCCCAACGACGCAGAAATTCAGCCACCTCTTCGAAGGCACTGGGTGCGTGAAGCGGCAATATCGTATGGTACTACATGACGATGCGGTTCCAGTGATCCATGCAGCGCGACGCGTTCCTTTGGCCTTACGGGAACCCCTACAGAAAGAGCTGGTGCGCATGGAACAGGCGAACATCATCTGCAAGGTGGACGAACCAACTGATTGGGTAAGCCCGCTTGTTATTGTAAGAAAAAAAGACGGTAGCCTCAGGGTATGCATGGATCCAAGAAGCGTAAACGCATGCTTGAAACGCGAACACTACCAGATGCCACAACGCGAAGACATTGAGGCGGAGCTGTCTGGTGCGAATTTCTTCAGTCGACTAGACGCTAACGCAGGGTTTCACCAAATTCCCCTTGATGAACCTACCTCAAAGATATGCACGTTCGCCACGCCGTTCGGGCGCTACCGATTTCTTAGACTTCCATTTGGCATTGCATCTGCCCCCGAAGTCTTCCAGAAAACACTGAGCGAGATTTTTGACCATTTACCCGGAGTTAGAGTGTACATTGATGACATTCTCGTGTGGGGAGCAACCAAGCAAGAGCATGACAGTCGCCTTCAAGCCGCTCTATGCGCAGCCCAACGCGCAGGGCTAACATTCAACAGGGCGAAGTGCCAGTTTGGAGTGCAGAAGATAGTTTTCTTGGGCGATGTTATCAGCTCAGCAGGAATTCGTCCAAATGCAGCTCTTGTAGACTGTTTGAGCAAAATGCCCGTACCAACTGAAAAACTTGCCGTACAACGTATGCTTGGAGTAATAAACTATTTTGGAAAATATGTGCCAACTCTCGCTGATAGAACGAAGCTTCTTCGAAGCCTGATACGGAAGGACACCGTATTTGACTGGACCGAAAAACACGCTCAGGAATGGCACGCAGTCTGCGAAGCGCTGCGCACTGCCCCGCTCCTCGCTATATTCGACCCCGCGAAAGAGACAAAGATAACGGCAGACGCATCTAAGGATGGCATAGGGGCCGCACTGCTCCAGCGACACTCCAGTGGCTGGCGTCCTATCGCCTACGCGTCACGAGCCATGACCGACGTTGAAAAGCGTTATTCTCAAATAGAGAAAGAAGCGATGGGTATAGCATACGGTTGCGAGAAGTTCCACCAGTTTGTGTACGGTAGGAAAATTGTGATCGACACCGATCACAAACCGTTGCAAGCCATTTCGTCCAAAGATATCGGGAACATGCCCCCAAGACTTCAAAGATTTTTTCTGCGCTTATTAATATACGACTATGTTCTACAGTTTGTTCCAGGCAAAGAATTGGTCCTTGCTGACATGCTCTCAAGGGCCACACCGTCAGAGCGTGAAGACACAGTGGATTTTGGCGACATTCAAGTACACGCAGTGGCCGTTTTGTCATCTTTAGTGAGTGAAAGAACGAAACAGCTTTTGTCTCGGGAAACATCTAACGACCCGGAGCTACGTGCGGTAGTAGAAAGCTTGTCGTTAAACAAAGACTTCGAAGGAACACTCAAGCCGTTCGCCTCTGAACTTTCAGTTGTCGACGGAATTCTTCTGAAGGGCTGTAAAGTAGTTATACCAAAGAAACTGCGTCCAGAAACCCTAAGCCGCATTCACGAGGGCCATCTTGGTTTAAATAAGTGCAAAGCTAGGGCACGGCGTTTAGTATTTTGGCCTGGTTTGAACTCTGACATTGCTGACGTTGTACGGAATTGTGCTGTCTGTAAAACCTATGCGTACAAACAACCTGACGAGCCCCTCTTGCTACGAACCCCTCCTGATCACCCTTGGTACCGAGTGGGCGTAGATCTTTTTTGTTATGCTGGAGCCACGTACCTTGCTGTTTTTGATGCCTATTCAAATTTTCCAGAAGTTGAAAAACTCGAGGAGACATCGGCAACTGCGGTTATCGACAAGCTGGCAGCCATCTTTGCAAGGTATGGAATACCGATGGAAGTCTGCACAGACAACGGCCCCCAGTTCGCAAGTCACCAATTCGCCACGTTCTCCAGACGGTACGATTTCAAACATATAACTTCGAGCCCAATGTTTCCACGTTCCAACGGGCTAGCAGAAAAGGGTGTCCAAATTATAAAGCGGCTGCTTAAGAAGACTGGGACCACACATGAAGATTTTTGGCTTGGGTTACTTGGTTACCGCTCTGCTCCCTTGCAGGATGGCCGGTCGCCGGCGGAACTTCTGCAGGGCAGGCCTCTACGCACTAGGATCCCCGACTTCAACCTGCAGCCCAAGAGTCCTGTAAAAAAGCGCCAGCAGACGTCGTCTGGACGACCGCTGAGACCACTCCTACCGGGAGACGTGGTTCACGTGAAAGGCCAGGCTTGGTCTCAAAAGGCTAAGGTATTGGGAAAAGTAGCCCCGAGGTCCTACAACGTCGCAACAGGAGAGGGGAGAACGCTGCGGCGTAACCGCCAACAGCTGCTGGCAACCTCGGAGCCATTTACGTACTCCAGCGACAGTGACACTGACGTCGGAGATGATGACGCAGAAGAGCCTCCACATCAGAGCCCGCCTCGCGTGACTTCGCCGGCACCTAGAAGATCCTCGCGCATTAGGGAGGAACCAAGACGTTTAGCATACGGCCCCAACTTTGCTCAAATAGTTTAGCGGCTAGTTCCGGCGGAATACTGTTGAATTTGTATTTTTTCTATCGCATTGCACTTCTTTTTTACGCCTTGTTAAAAAAAAAAAAAAAAAAGGATGGGAGATGTATCGTGCTGGGTCATGCTGACCATGACTCATGATGCGCACTCCGGTGCGCACCGACCGATTATGCCTAATATAAGCGGCGACAATAAACCCGGCAAGGCATTGCTGCATCCTGCTTCATCGGTGACCGTCTCAGTCTTTGATCAGCCTAACTGGGTCTGATACGGCGACAGAGGTCAGCCCAAAGCCCTAGCCTTGGAATTCGGTGGGACTGACGCAGTGTACCACGACCGCACCGTATGGGGTGAGTGCCTAGCTTTGTACTTGAGATGTATCGAGTCTTTTAGCCTGAATCATTAAAAGATAGACATAACCAGCAACTGTCCAGACATTGTGGTTTTTATCTCATCACAGATCAGCACTCGATAATTATCTCAGCAAGCTAGGATAAGCAGGATAGCTCAGATAATTCTGATAGCTCAGAACATGTGTGAGTTCTGCGGGAGTTTTAAGGGTACGTTGCGCGAGAGTTTTGGTATGTTGGGGAGAGCAGAGGAGTGAAAAGGTAGAGAGGGAGGATGGCCACGTGGGACTGCTTTTGCGGTTAAGCTCTTGGTTTCCACTGTAGGATTTGCCAGGCTTCAATTTCTCCAGACCCAGAATTGAAACTAGTGAGTTTGTGTTTCATCACAGCTGAGCCAAAGCGGAGTAGTCGCGACAGACATGATGAGATTGACACGAGATGACCTGCTAAACTTGAGTTGTGATCTTGACCTAGAATTTGACGACGGTATGCCTGCGTCTCACCTCCGTGAAGTAAAAGTAACAGGGAAGATATCGAGTACTTTGGCATTTGTACTTAATTGAACAGGAACGAATAGAGAAAGAGAGGATAAGCATTGAAAAACACAGGAAGGCAATGCAAGATATAGAGGAGGAGATTGAAAAAGTAGAACGCTAGTTTGATATGAAACAGAGGAGGGGTCAATCCGTAGAGGCAGCGCACGAAAGGTGTGAGGAACAGTTGAGTGCTGTGCAAATCGGAGCCGTGGAGAAGGCTAGCTCCTACCAGAATAGCATTAGGTTCAAGACTGAACTGAGATTAACAGCCGCAAAAGTCACTATGGTAAAAGGAGAGGCCACACAAGGCCAGATTAACTGCTTTGAGGAGCTGTGCCAGGGGAATTCTAGCAAAACTGCTGAAATAGTTGTAGACGATCTGGTACAGACACAAAGTAAGGGTGCCCTGGCAACGAATCTTCCGTGTGGTGACCAATGAGATTTGGATTTGCTAGGCAAGAACACTAGTGTTAAGGCAGGAGAGCGTACAGTGTAGAGAAGACTCTACAGTTGTGGATAGCTCCCAGGTATGTGAGCTCAATTCACGTGAAAGTATCCCACCGGTGGACCCTGCATGCGGTGTCCAAGAGGGTTTTGACCCGCTAATCAGGAACACCGAAGTGCTAGCAAAAGATGGAGCAATAGCCGAGATTTGTGGGTATAATGCAGTTGAAGGGAGCTCCCTGGAATGCGAGCTAAGTTCTTCAGAAGAAAACAGCTACAGTGTTACGAGATGCGTTAAGCTGTCCGACAGTCTAGCAAGTAAAGAAAAAAGTGGCTTGTGCGTATATTGCTTAGACTCTGCGGACCAGGCGGCTAACGAAACCAACAAGAGTGCTGGAGACCAAGAGGCGCGAACGGCAGACTCAGAAATGCACCAGAAGAAGAGGCATAAACAGAAGCGGCATTGTAGAGCCAGGAGTGCAACAAAGAGCACCCGCTTGACAAAGGCAGTTTCAGCATAGTAAGCCGAATGAGGCCTTTGTCATCTACGTCGAAGTTGGTTTTGCATGCGTCCGGGCCATAGGAAAAAAGAAAAAAAACTGTGTTGTATGAAATTCAAAGAAAAGGAAAGGGACAGTCAGCCTCCAGTCATTCTATCCATGGCATGTTTGATGGAGCATGGGAGTGCAAGGTCGCTGGCTTGCAAGAAGTAGCCAAACGAGCGGAAGAGTGCAGGTCACCAGCAAAGAGCTTGGTGTGGTTCAGAGGAGAAGCAAATGGGTTCTGCCATTGTTTTACTTCCTGTTTACCAAGAAAGGCCCACAGTGCACGACCACCATGCATTCATCTGAAAAATGAGTAATAGTGGTAAGCATTTGGGAAGGCTCAGGAGCGGAATTAATGATTTTGTTTTGAAATTTCGCTTTGACTATTTACTTTGGTTTTGTAACATGGTCTTGAAAGTGTTTCGGCTACTAAACAATGTTTAGGTAGCAAGTGCGAGGTTTTGTTTACTTCTTAAGCTTTGTATGCTTTCTTTTTTATTGTAAGCAATGTGTGGTCACATAACTATGCTATTGGGGTTTCGGTTCCGGTTTTGTAACTGGTTGGCTGGCCTCTCTGTGGCATTGTACACATGTATATATAGTGATGCTTGTGTTTATAAAGAGTTCCTGCTTGGCTACCGGCTGCTGCATACCTCTTGTCGGCCGGCGCTTCAGCACCGTGCCCTGTGTTCTTCGTGCCGCGCATCCACAGCATGATATTACATTTTGGCAATGAGGATCTTCAATCCACAAGCATCAGGCGATAAGGTGGGCATCCAGCCTTCTTCCTCGTGCTGTCGACTCAGCACCAGTGCAAGCTGTTCCACCGGTACTGCATTTCTTGCATTCATTTCTACTTTTTCTACACTTTTCGTGCCAGTCGAGTCACGGGGCCAATCTACACGCGCGTGTTTCCTGAACTGCCTTTTCAACGCTCTCTTCGGAAATCATGAATGCGGCTATCCCTCCACCTTCGTTTTTTCAGTGCCCCGGTGTACCGCCTATTCCATGGAAGCAGTGGCGTCCTGTGTTACAGGTCTACATCAACGCCACTGCCAGGGATGCCACGCCAGAGCACAAGAAGGCCCTGCTCCTCAACGCTTTGCGCGTCGAGGGACTCAACACCTAGCTGCGTGCCGCCGAAGATGAGCAGCAGCCGGGAGCCGACTGATCAACTCAGGAGACGACCTCGAATGTGTACGACGCAGCTCTTGAGCAGCTTAATGAACTGTTCGACCCTCAACCGGACACGGCGTGTCTGCACACCCACTTCAAAGCCCTGCGTCAGAAACCAGAATAGTCGGCGGTGGAATTCACTCAGAATTTATGCCGAGTAGCCAAGCTTTGTGTATTCGGCGCAGCAAATCGGCGCAGCAAATCGGCGCAGCGGGTGATATCCTCGCTTTCGACTAGATCTTCTCTGGCATTGCATCGCCGCACCTCCAAAGAATTTTTTCAAGATGGGGAGAACTTCTCCCTACAGAAGGCGCTCGACATAGCGAGAGAGGAGGCTCACGCGGGTGCCTGTTATCACTGCGGCTCGACGTGGCATTGGGCCAACTCCGCCGTGTGCTTTTCCACGAGCCGGGCGTGTTTGCGGTGCGGATGTCGTGGACTTTTCCCACTGGTCTGCCGCACTACTACTGAGTCAACCGGTCATACTTCAACCTCATGTGCAGAGATTATTCCAGCCCAGAATGAGAGCGTGCTCGCTTGTGCGGCAACTGTTAGCGTCCCAGCTGGCCGTGCTCCTGAGGCACCTGCTCCTGCCGTGTGTCCTGTATTTGAGCATATCCTGACTCAACACGCTTCGACTGGTAGTACTGCTGCGAGGATGGCAGTTCCGGTCGGGTCTGCTGATGCTGACCATATTTTACATGCATCAGCTGACCATCCTTCGGTTGTGCCTGCTGCTGCTTCCCCCCAGCTGTGCGTCTTTCGGCTTGTCGTGACCTCCGTCGAGCGTGCCGGCTAAGATTCAAGAAGCGGTCCCTGTTGTCTGTGCTGCGAAGATGCTACCACTGGTCACGTCTGCACCGGCCGTGCCAGTTCCTGTTCTGTGCACGGCACCTGCATCGGTGGCGCCGAGCCGTGTCCTGCCTGAGCTTTAGCGCATTCTTGTTCCTACCCCTACTGTGCTAGAAGTGCACTGGGTCTATTCTCTCGCTCCACCAGACTGCTTCGAGTGGCGACAGTCCAGCTGCCTTCTGTGGAAATGGCACCGGTACCGGCGTAGGCACGGTAGACACAAACAGGACAGTGACTATTCAGACATCCTCTCTAAAGGGAGGGGATGATAGGTTGGTGTGCGGCGTGTGCCTTGCCTTTGTGTATGCTGCACATTTCTTTACGCTGCTATGCTGTGCAATTTATTGTTCTGTATATACGGTACATTTTCATTCTTACTTTGCCTTTGTTACATGTTAGGACTCCGCATGATGTTAATTTCAAGGGGGAGATGATGTGGTATCGAGGTATCGGTTCCGGTTTTGGAACCAGTTGGCTGGCCCCTAGAGACGTTGTACATATGTATATATAGGGATGCTTGTGTATATTCCTGCTTGGCTACCGGTTGCTGCGTACTTCTTGACGGCCGACGCTTCAGCGCCGTGCCCTGTGTTCTCCATGCGGCCGCACGATACTACAATAACGACACTCATCGAAGCATGCAACAGGGTAAATACGAGTAGGTGAATAAGAGCGACATCAAGAGCTGATTATGCTTGAGCGCGGAGGAGCATAGGATACTCCTTGCGAGTTTTTTTAGTGTTCACGCAAAAGTATTTTCTTTTTGTTGTTTAATGTTTTGTTTGCATGT